CACCTCAAATATGAGGTGCTGCAAAGATAAACAAAGAAAACAGATTTCTTTTTGTAAAATCTATTACCATTCTATACTAATTTTGCAAGTATTTGTAAGAGTTGACAAAGACAATTTACTGGGCCAAACATCAGCCGGGAATCTGAATCTTCTGTGCCCTTCTATGAATTCCTTATAAATTCTTTAGCAAAGATTCTGTTAGGTTAGTTAGAACTGCCTCACGTTCCATATCTGGATAGGTTCCCCATTATTTACTAAGTCCCAGATGGTGTTTGATCACCTTGGCCTATCTTCAGTAAGAATCCGGTTAGATTGATTTAGCTGGAATCTTTATTATGGATGTTTCTTCTTAGTAATTCTCCATCCATTGCTTCCCACACTTCTCTGAAGCTACAAGTTCCCTTTTGCCATGACGAGACCAGAGCTCAGTCTATTAAAGTGCCTCCACTGTTTGTATTAACATTTATTTACCTTTTGGGGGATGGGGTGGATAGTGTCTCATTATGTAGCATCAACTAGCCTGGAAGTTGCCCTATCTATCGATCAATCTATCTATCTATCTATCTATCTACCTACCTACCTACCTACCTACATACCTACCTACCTACCTATCTATCTATCTATCTATCTATCTATCTATCTATCTTATCTATCTATAGGCTATCTATAGGCTGGTCCATCTGCCTCTGCCTCCTAAGTGCTGAAATTAGAGGCATGCACCACCACACCCTGCTTTTATGGTTATTTTGAGGGTCCTGAAAAGATTTCCCTCCATCATGACTTAATAAGTGCTAATAACTTTAAAATATGTTCACTCTTATAACTTAATAAAAAGCTTTAGAAAAGTATATGGAACTAATATTTTCTGAAGGAAATAGAAATTTAAGTAACAGAAAAAATGTTTTAATTGTGAAAAAATAACGCATTTTATTAATTTTATAGAAGAAAAACCACCTTATCTCATCCTACTACTTACGATTATGGGCTTTAACACTTTGTAAAGTTCACTTAAGCCATGACTTAATGAAACCTACTTTCTGACTTAATTTACATAAGGCTTCGTTTCATAGAAAATTACTAGCAATGTCGAAAGCAACAAAAGCAAAGTCTATTTCACAGGGTGGGCAAGAGGATTAAATGAAATAACCCATAGAAAGTGCTTGAGAAGGCAACTGTGCTCAGTAAAAATTCAATAAGTAATGGCTCTTAAAGTTATTCTCTTTGTTATATTTTATGCTTTTCTTTTATTTCTTCATCTGCCATTGAAATATTTCTTGAAATACCTTGTGTTTGTGATTATACTGTCTTGTAATACTAGGAAACAGTCAAACCCAAGGAGGTGAGTATCAGACTACCCATCTTCTTCCAAAAGTTAAACTGGAACAGGCTCTGGGATCCAGCAGCCAAGCCCTGAGTCTGCTTTGTAAGATTCATTGAATGCCTAAATTATTTCAAGATTTGAGTTTCTATCTTGTATAGTTTTCTCCCTAAAATTCACCACCATAGTTACAATGACAGGCTTAATATCCTTTTTAGAAACATCTAATATCTGGATAATATTGGAGTTTACCCTGATTGGTTTTTCTCTACAATGGATACTGATCCTGGTTCTTCATCTGATAGCATACTGTGCATTACACCATGAATATTGTGAATGCTCTTGATTCTCTGTCTCTAAACAGTGTTGATGTTTTCATCTCAGCAGGGAGGTTCATTTGATGAAATTTAACTGTAAACTGTCTTGGCTAGTGGATCAGATTTTTAAATATATATATATATATATATATATATATATATGTGTGTGTGTGTGTGTGTGTGTGTGTGTGTGTGTATGTGTGTGTGTGTGTGTGTGGGTGTGTCTGTGTGTATGTATATGTGTGTGTATGTTTTAATTTAGTCTTTGAGAATTTCATGTTAAGTATATATTAATTCATTTTAATCATATCTACCCCAATCTCCCCGTCCAACTATCCTCAGACTTCATCAACATGTCAATCTCCTGACTTAATGTTTGTTTGGTTCTTTTAATACCCTACCTAGTCCAATTATTGACACCCATATGTGTATGAGTGTGGGGCTATCTGCTGCATCACAGCCAGTCTACCAGTGGTCATATCACTTGTCAACTCTCCCCAGCAGCCATCCACATCCATTGTCTCTTCAGCTAGGAGTGGGACCTCATGAAATTCTGTCCCTCATCTATAATGGAACTTTGACCCACTTGATTTTTCACAGGTCTTGTATAGACAACCACAGATACTGTGAGATCATGGGTATACAGAAGGCAGATATACTCTTAAATTCTTTCTGCCCTTTCTTCAATATGTTCCTTGAGCATTGAGGGCACGGGGAGTTGATACAGAAGTCCTATTACTCATGAATTCTCAGTATTTTGACCAGTTATGAACTTCTGAATTAACTGCTGCCTACTGCAAAAATAATCTTCTCTTACCAAGGCAAAGAGGAACACTTATAAATATTTAGAAGATAATTTGACAACATTGATGGGAGATGTCATTCTGTAAATATGTTTCTTATACTGGTTAATGAATAAAGCACTGTTGGGCAATAGGAAAGCAAGATAGGCGGAACTAGGAGACGAGGAGGATTCGAGGAAGTAGTAAGGAGGAGTCAAGATGGAGAGTCTGGAGAGAGCAAGATGCCAGCTGGCTCCCCAGTAAGATGAGACCTAGGCCCTTTGACTTCTGCAGCAATGAGCTTTTGACTAAGTTTATAGCACCAGCCATGAGCTATCTCCTGTGGAATACATCTTAGATCAGAAAGTGATTGGTTATACCCATAACCTTCATGCCATATTGCATGAGTAGGCACATCTTATCTTACCCAGAACTAGTTAAGACCATGGATGACCCTTCTTCCAGACTCCACAAGCCTGCATAGAACCTCCCATCACTATGGCAACTAGCCAGGGGGGACAGAGTATCCTGGTCAGTTCCAGTTGATTCTTGAACTCCTTCAACCAAAGTGTCTAAAGTGATAGTTACGGTGGTTAACCAAGAGCAATGGCAATATATTCTGTATTGTTTTGGGAGCCTCTGGGACCTTCTTGAGCAATAACTCAAAAGGGGGTGTACCATACCTCATACTAAAATTTACACTAAAAAACTCATGTCTTTTGAGAGCACCATTGTTCACCCATGAAGAATATTGCTATACATACTACTTAAAATTTTAAATTAGCATATGAAGTAGTGGGTTCCCATAAGGCTTACAATCTCAGTTTGGGCTCACCCATCCCCTTTCTCTCCTCCATCCCTACTTAAACCTTTAACCTTCAGCATCAATTAGATTTTGCTTAATTTTTCAATCATTAAGAGCTGTATGGTCTAACTGTCCCACAGAAGGATGGTATAGGTTTATGTGTTAATTTAACGACGGAGTTTTCTCCCTCTTAATATCTTTTTTTCAGAAACAGCTTTTACTTTCTGGTGGCTCTGGTACCCACAATTGAATGAACAGTTATCCTATGATTCTGTTCTGCTCTCAGGAGAAAAAAAAAAAAAAAGGAAATGGGAACTCATCTCCAGTGGTTTCCTCTTACAAATTCTCTTAAAAATCTATCTTCTCCATTATACCATTGAGCATTATGGATTTATCCAGGGTCCAGTTATCTATAAGAGGGTTAGATAGTCAGAGTCAAATGGATGGTAAAGCTCTCTCCCGACTGGAGAATTTTGTTAAAATTCAAAATTTAGATAGGAATAATAATGGTATATTTTAAATATTTAGCCTTGCTAAGTAAGAGTGAGTTTTGTATACCCACTGAGTCATCCATGTTCCTCAGTAAAATTTTCCTCATATAGACCCTACACACTTCCCACTACATAAGAATCTAAGTTTATTGTAATAAACCAATTGTGGTTGCACTTTCATTGTACATCCTCATTTTCAACTGCACGTTTTAGCACTGGGACATTTGGTAGTGGCCTTTTTCTCTCTGCTGCACACCATTTGCTCTTTCTTTCATTGCTGGCACATACTCTCTACTTAATGTTAAGTCAGCTGAGAGTACCAGTTGTCCAGTTGAGTTCCTGGTTTGTCACACAGATTTGTTGCCTCATTGAGTTCTTGGGGTAATGATCATTGATCTTCAGTTGTTTCCAACTTTGCCTTTTCAGTACAGAGTTAACACATAAAGGACTGTGAATCTGATGTGTTGTTGGCAATCATTTCATGTGTTATTAACTTCCATAGTTCTGCATGGATAATTTAATGGTAGAATAGAAAGGGTTTGCTGCTCATTTAAAAAATACATTGACCCTTCTCTGAAAGGATTTTTCTACAAACATGCAGAAATACCTTAAGATTGATAGGGTTTTTTTTTTTTTTTTCCTCCTTGGGAAACACAGTTAGTTGGTCTAACTTTAAAGGAAAAAACAAAAAGGAGTGCTGAAACAAAACTAGAAATAAAATGGTAACATAGGAATGAAGGTCTATGCTAGAATCCATGAGCAAGGATCTGGGTTTTATCACCAGCATGACACATCACATATTGCACACACCCCAAATAAATAAAGTTAATGCTTTTGATAACACTTCAGATCAACATTAGAGTAATACTTTAGGATTTGCAAATGTATTTACTTTTTAAGCTAGCAAAGTACATTAGAATCAAGATCAGGAAAACATCAATCCGTATCTCCTTATTCATGTAACTTCTGACTTCTGTCCTAAGTGTCACATTGGTTTGGATCCCCACAATTCTATGAAAACACACCAAGTCATCAAAGGCCTTAGTGTGTCTCTAGCATCTAACAAGAACTTAATATTCATAACAATGAGTATCTTATAATGTTATGTATTCCATAATCTCCTAAAAACAGATAAATTACTGCTCATCAAAGAAGTTATGAGAAGCCAAGACCAAACTAAGAATACTTTATTGTTATTATATAAAGTGTATTAAATATACACTTTAAAGAGAATGTGTTGTTCACCTGGTGAAATATAGTGCATTCATTAAGATGAAAGAAATGAGTAGGTGACATATTTAAACAAAGAATACTTCTCAAATATGACAGGATCTTAATTATATGTACCACAGGTATTCTATAAGCTTTCTACTAAAGAAAGGGGTCTGAACATTGTGAGTTTGACAAGTTTATATGCCAGCCATTCCTTAACAAAGCAAAAATATTAGCATCCTGGAATAATTTCCATTCCTGGTCCACTTTCTGCCCACTGGAAAAAGTTACACTGCTTTGCTTTCTCCAAAGGACATACAAAAAAATTCTTCCCATTATTAGGTCCAATCTTCAGCACAGTTCTCATAATGGAGCGTTTGCCATGTCTGCACAATGGGAAGGATAAGTCTGCCCACTAGGAGAGGAAGAAGACAGGATATAAGGAATACATGAAGTTACAAAGTAAACAGACAAGACTAGCCTCATTTGATGCGATACTCATTTCTCTGCTGTGACTATTAGTGTGACAATGTGAAACAAACATAAAATATTAGTTGCTGCATTTTTAAAGTCATATTCTATAAGAAGCATTATATATATAAACTTGCTTAAAGCACACATTAAATTGTCCTAATTCCAAACTTCACATTACCTAAAGGCATATAAAAAATTCTCTCCTTTATTCAGAGTAACTGAGAACTATCAGAATTGTGACATTAAGATATCACCAGTGACCTGGCTATATGTCCGTTTCAGTTAAAATAGTATCAAGCATTTCTTATAACTGTAACACTATATTTGATTAGTCTCCTAGAAAAAGGATGACGCCAGCAGATACTAGACTATACTAAATTAAGCAAAAGCCACTCTGGTCTTAGTATTTGGTCTCGAGAGATGAATGAAGGAGGCTGTGATAGTATTAGCTTATAAAATTACTAATACCATTTTCCCATTACATTCAAAATGGTACTTAATAGAATCTATGAGTCTAATATGATAGAAGCATATTTTAGGTGTAGGAACCAAAATCATCAAATTTAACTTGGGTATGTCCTTAAAGTTTGCATACCAGAGAGAGACATTTTATTTCTCATTTTTTGCCCAGTACTTGGAATACAGATGTGAATCACCACATCTGGCCTCAGTACTGTTCTACCTATCATTATGAACCAAGAGCAGCATCGATACACTTGTGATTGCAAATATGAAACTCATTATTTATGCAATAGTTATTTTTATCACTAATGCTATTTGCTAAGCCTTGTCATATTGTAAGCTATTTAACACCCATGCTTTACACTGAATACTAATATGGCCATTTAAAATGGAAAAGTAAAGCCAGGTTTGGTGGTGTGTAACTGTAATCCTAGAACTTGGGAAGTTCCTGTCTCAAATAAGTAAATAGACAGATAAATAATAAATAAATAAATAAATAAATAAACGTATATGTAAAGCTGCAAGCACTGACATTACAATAACCAAAATTCATTTGATGTACAATGAGCATGGAAAATTTTACACATACTTTAAAAAATCCGCATTGAGCTTCTCTGGGTAGAGGACAGGTGTAAAACTGCCTCCCCTTATTTTCCCCATCCTTCTTCACAACGTGGAGGACACAAAGGCAGTTGTGCTTCTTGCACCGAGGATTGCCAGCATTTACAGAATGAGAACCATCTGCTGTAGTGGTTTGGAGTTCACTGTAATGACAGGTCACACGATAATGGTCACCTAGCAGCACTAAAAGGGTCTCTCATACCACCATGCCCCATCCATGTAGTTTTACACCTATAGAGGCAACTTAAGGTTATTATACCTTTCATGTTTTGGTTCTTTAGGCAATTCTAATTTATTTCTAAACTCACTATGTGTCAAAGGCACAAACCTTAACTTTCTAGGGGGAAAAAAAGGTAAATTTCTGTGTGGTATATTGGACATTCTTAAGTTTTAACTTCTGATATTTGGTTTTCCTTTACCAAATATTATACTGTATTTACTCACTTCTGTTTTCTCTATGATAGTCTCATTTGCGTGTCCATGTGAACCCCATTTCACAAAACAAGTATGGTTACAATCATTTCTAATTATTTTCTCATCTGCAGAAACAATGCACTCAGGAGGCCATCTTGTGAACATCTACTGTCTACTTGAAAACCATTTCCTATGCCTTTTTTTTGATGAAGGTTACTATTGTAGTCACAATAGCATTTTAGTAGGAAACAGGAAGGTTGGAAGAGCAGAAATGTGCATTTTACACACTTAGCAGAGGGGACTTTTATCTCTCTACAATTAAAACCCAGAATGTTTGGAGGTCAATCCCTGTACACAGCGAACAAAGACCAGTGGGTGAGTTTGTCCTTCAGCTGCATATGCAATTCCTTCTTGGAAAAAAAAAAAATGTTTCATTATAGTTTCTAATTTTCTATGTCTTGCATATTGTAACACATATATAGTGACCAATTTAGAATAAAAGTGTTCACGACAATGACAGAAGATGATAGGAATTTACCTAAGATGTAGATGATGTACTTAGTATTTACAAAGTGGGTTTGATCTCCAGCACCAAGGAAAACAAGATCGGAACCTCTTCATAACAGCCCTATTTCTTAACATTCTTTTATAGTAAAATAGTCTGCTTTTCACATTGTGGGAAATTTCTAACAACAATAATAATTGTCTTAAACACCTACAAATCAGAACTATTTTCCTTTTCTCATTGCTTCTAAGACTAAATTTTGCAGTATTTGTTTCTATAATGATGCTTCAAGCAGAATAACTAATTGAAATGTTCAGAGGATATGGTCGTTCACTTTATAAAAGATGTAACTAAACATATTACTTTAAAAATACCTGTTGTCATAGACCTTAAGCAATGTAGTTGCAGTTTTGAAACTGTTCATATTGCAGTTATGTGTACATGAAAGTAGCTAGACACATCACTACAGAGGTCATTATCATTAAATATTTAATCAGTATTAAGTATCATTAACTAGTATCATCATTAAGTATTTCACTTTTTTGTTGTTTCTCTCTACAGAGTGGCTGGTAGGTGATAGTAATATCTTAAAATGATGACTCACACCAAATTGAGAATAAGAAAGATGGAAGGCAAAGATAAGGCATTGTTTTCCAGACCCTGCCTCGCACCAACAGCCCCTAGAGGCAATTTAAAACTGTAACCTCCAGAGAAGCTCAGTATCTGTATGGCTGTAGAGAAGTCAACAGATGTCAAAACAGAATTGGTATCATAAATAGTATTAAATTTAAGGGAGAATGAAAATGAGGGTAAGGGTATTAGTAGACATAAATGGAAAGGTATTTATTAAAATATGCACACATAAATACACAGTTTTATGTATTTGATGGCCCTGGTGTTTCAGGCTTGTAATTCCATCTTCCCAGGAGAATGAGATAAGAGATTTGTTTGTTCAAGGCAAACCAGATAGTTCAGTTTAGCAAGAGCCAGTCTTAAGGAAGTAAGAAAGGGTTAAGCATGGGGCTTGGTGTTGCACACACCAACTGTGAGAGGGGGCCTTAGATACAGCACCAAAACAGAAGAAGAAAATAAAACAGTTTTATGCATGATTTTTAAAGTGCTGTCTTGGGTAGCATTTAGTTCAACATTTTCTAATTCACTTGCCTTACATTTCAACCTAAAATTTAACAGACCTAAGGAGATTTCAGTTTTTTCCTATGGAAGCTTTTCTGAGGTTCAACAGTAGGGGATATGACTCAAGAGGCTCCCAGCCTTGCCTCCTCATTTTATCTTCCGCTCTGTGTCTTCTTTGGCATAAAGTTGGCTGTGTGTTTTTCTATCCTTGGTACCCAGAATGTGTTCCTCTAACTAGCAACATTAGGACCATCCAGGGGGTGCTCAGACACACTTAACTACTGGCCCCTCCTCCCAATCCCTTTGGATTCAGCATCTGCTTGCTAACAAGACTCCCAGGTGATTCATCTGCACATTAAGTTGTAAAGTGTGGAGTTAATGTAACCAAGCCACTTGCACCACCTGCGATCACATCAGCTCTAAATATGCACAAGCCAACCTCTAGTTTATGATAGAAAACATTATCCAGACTAATTACGTGTTGTGGTTAATCGAGGATATCTTGGTTCCTCTTTGTTTCAATCATTATTTAAAATCTTCCTAGAATGGAGCCGAGCATTTTCCTAGGTAAATTTAGCACAAAGAGCAGTTGAACTTAGTGTGGTGATGAGGCTCATCATTTGAATACTGATTATTAAAAAGCATGGTAATATAGTAGACAAGGATTTGGCAAACCCTTTTCAGACATGTATTTTAAGCTTGGGTCTCTGTGGCAACTGCTCAATTCTGTTGTTTCTTTAATACAAAAAAAAAAAAAAAAAAAAAACCCTAAACAAATTGAAATGAGTCATTACTACACACACAAGTGTTGAATCTGGCCTTGCTGGCCGTAGTTTGCTGGAGTAGGCATCACTAGGATCATGGACAATAAGTTAATAAGTTTTCACAAAATAATAAGATAAAGTTGCTGGCAGGCAAGTGCAAAATGCATGTCTTCCATCCTTAGTGCCCTAAAAATAAAGAGACTAACAATAAAGGAATCAGAGATTCCTATCCGTGTGATGGAAAACCTGTATTATCAATCATTAATTTAAAAGTTATTGATTTTATAGATGGAATGATTTATTATAATAAAAATACTACTTGGAAGTAATTTTTGAATCACTCTGTCCAACTGAATGTAGATTTGACAACCCAATATTACTTCAAAGATTAAAGTAAACAGAGCTTACATGCGTGAGGCAACTGAAAACTCCAAGAGGTAAAGTAGAAACAAGTGCAAAGAATTAGAGATAGGCCTTTCAAACACTGATGGAAGCAGACACGGGAAGTGGGGATGACTCCAAAGGGATCCTCCTATGCTGCCTTGAGACACTTTGCATGATATTCCAGCTAGAACACATGCTTTCTTTGACAATGTATCACCATGTTTACAGTAATTGGATCAAAGATTTAAAACTGGTGTTAGAAGCTAGTGTCAACTGCTTAAAAATTGGTTCAATTATATGATTTATCATCTAGTAACTGGAGAACATTCAAGTATAGACACCAATCCAAAAATAAGCCTTATCAACATACGTGCAATGATGTGACAAGAGATGGCTAATTAAGGGAATAAAAGTCAAATTAATTACCCTATGATTATTAAAGAAAATAAACTGGCTATCAATTCTGAGTGGACCACCTGTTTTAACATTGTTTTGTGGTGAGCTTCTGCTAAGCATCTTGTCCACGAGATGAGCACTCTAGCTGTCAGACAAGGAGGAAAATGAAATAAGTGACAGTAATTTGCAATTTATTCCATGTAAAGTAGCTGGTTGCAGAGGGGTTGCTGGGTGAATTCATTTTATCACTTGATATTTATTCTGCTATTTGATCTTAGATTTATTGTTGAGTTCCATCCTGATGTTCTTCTTGGGCCCCAGCAGATGACAAGGTTACCCACAATGCTTTGACTTTCCCATTGTGAAGCAACAGCAGGTAGACTATAGAGCTCCAATTTCAGTCTTTACTCTGCAGCCTAATAATTTCTCTCAATGATTGACAAGTTCCAACTCCCAATCAGGCACATGACATGAGGAAAAGAACTGGGACCCTACAGTGTCATGTATTGTTAGACTGATGTAAAGGGTGGTGAAGGTAATGCATTTTCACATATGACTTTGGAAACCAAGGAATATCTATATATAAATATTAGCAGATAACTTATGGCTATGTTTTAAGTAGTTTACTATATATTTCAATATTTTCCAAATATGTCCTATTGAATATATAGTTATATCCTGGAAAAAAATACTTGTTGGAGTTGCAGAAAAATCTGTTCCATTTCTTTCCTTTTCTAACATCAATTAGGGAAAAAAGAGAGCAAATTAATATAACAGTTTTTCAGTGCTTATTTTACTAAAAGCAATTTACAATGGGTGCATTTTCTGCCTTCTTAGAACTTGATGCAATCCAAATGCCTTACTGATCTTATAAAAAAAACAAAAAACAAAAACCAAAACCAAAAAAAAAAAAAACTTAAAAGGATAGTAACAAGAACTTAGTGCTGTAAAGACAAAAGTTAGAAACAACATACCTGTTAGAGAGTGCAGGTTTGTAATGTTTAAGGCCTGCTTCTGAAGAGTGAGCTGTTTTCAATTTTTTATGTGCTGAACTAAATAATTTAGACTGGGCACAAACTGTAGGTGATGTGTTTACCCTGTTGGATGGCTGAGTTATGTAGTTTGTTCCTTCTTTGGAGGGGTGCTGTAGATCACTAAAATATATTTCTGTAGGAAGAAAGTTTTGAAATCCCCCACTGATTATCTGGTTTGGGCTTTTCTTTCTGGCCAAAGTACTGGATTTATTACTGAAATCAGTCAAGACGAGGGTTGTACTTCCAAATACAGTTTTCCTGTTGATCTTCACTTCCGTATGTGTGTTCCCAAAGTTATTATAAGGGTACTTCACTAAGTTGCTCGTGTCAATGTTGTTCTCTCCATCTTTGATCACTGAATCTGGAAAAAGAGATAAGCAATTCTACAGTATTCCTAGAAATATAATCAACTGACTGAGTTGATTTAAAATCTTAGTTTACTACACTAAGCAAATATGCCTAACCATGTTACCAAGCTCACTTGGACAAGGTACAGAGAGTTATCTTCTGCTTTGGAAATAGAATATTAACAACCTATAGGAACCAAAAGATGGTGTTACCAAAGATTTGTATTTACTTTTTTATGTTTAAATAGGCAAAGATTATTCAGTTATCAGTACTGTTAATATTAGGCAAAGCAATTAGGACTCGTAGTTAAGAATGATATCACATAAGGCCTCAGACCTGCAGCTAGAGACTAACTTATGGGCAGAAATATTCATTTGATTGACTAGCCCAAATGAAAAGTTTACTTAAGATTAGTAAAGAAGAATTCTGGGCAGGACACTTGATGCTGATGAGAAGGTTTCGACAAATATCCTGGAATTTTGGAATCAACAACATGATATGATCTGATATATTATATTGATTATATATATACAGACATCTTCACAGTAACAAGAAATAATTGGTGATACATATAAAGGCATTTCAGAGTGTTGAAATAAATGCAGAAAACTAAGACTGATTTTCCAAGCTTCTCTCTTGGGTGACCCATATTGATGGAGGTACAGTCCCTCCTGCTACTTAGCAAAGTCATTGTAGGAGTGATGCCTGCCTCACAGGCCCAGGGAACAAAACACAATACAGCCGCTAACACAATGCAGAGGTCCTTAAGTCAAGAAGGAACTTTCTTATGTCTAATTGGGGAAAGAAATAACACTTGGCAAACACAATGGGAGCTGCATCAGTGAGATGGCTCTTAATCACAGGTTTCCTCTGAGGTTTTGCATTCTCTGAAGGCATACGATTGGGAGCTCTAAAGAGTTATTTTCAAGGATTTCAATGAAATCAGTACAATTGTCTGGGTAAAGATTTTAATAACAAGGGCTAGGAAAGAGAAAGAAGAGAAAAAATTCAGCAGTTTTCAATTCCACCTGCAAAGATATTCTTACAGAATTCCTCCCTTTCAATTTATGAAACACTTGGACTGAATAACAAACTGGAAAGTTGCTGAAATCTGCATAAAACAAAGCTTTATTGAATAATTCATTAGAAACAGTAGAGAACAGATGTGATCATCTCAGTGTTTGAGATACAAAGGCGCACTGTTTTAGAAAAAGCATGTTTCCCCTCTGTCATATATATATATATATATATATATATATATATATATATATATATATATATATATATTTTCAACAGACTATCAGCCTAGTTTACATAAAAAAGCTGGAAATTCCCCTAAACATCTGAGAAAGAAAGCCTTTTAGTTGGTTATGGAATATCAAGGTGGAGCAAAATATATACCTGCCTATAAAATAGATCCTCTTATAAATTTTATGAATTCAAAATAAAAAGTCAGTCTTCTTACCAACAGGCCTTGCAGTCAAGCAAGCATCACAGGCCTCAGCGGAGGGTTTGTTTATGAGGGTACAGACCACACAGGACCACTTCTCTTCAAATTTCTGAGCTACTGAGTCCATAAGGCAATCTTCTTTCCTAGAAGTCCAGCTGATTACAGTTTTTCTCATTGGCAATTTGCTGTAAAATAAAAATTTAAAACATGTATTTTCTTAATGCTTTATTTTTATACATTCTGGATAGTTTAGAAACTATTGTAGAAACATTAATACCCCAATTCCATTTATTATTATTTAAAAGTCATTATTGGCAGATTTGGAAATTATATTCTAAGCCCTACTAAATGCTACTAAATTCAGAAATTAAACTTTTTATAGAGAACAAATGTACTATGTTAAAACAAAACAAAAGCATTTGCTGTAACCAGCAGGAACTATCTTGCAAATATTTTAAATAGCAGTTTCCAAAGCAAAGCAGAAATATTATTTATTCAATTAAATTAGAAAAAGGTTATGCTAGAAACAGAATACTGAAAAAATGAAACAGAAGACATGCACTTGAAAGAGAGTAAGGAGCAGTGTACAGGAGGTTTTGGAGGTACAAGAGCAAAGGAAGAAATGGTGTAATTATACTATAATACCAAAAACAAAACTGAAAAATGTAATTATACTAAAATATCAAAAACAAGTCATGAAGAAGATATAAAATGAGGAAAGCTTTACATGACCTCATGTTTCTACACACGCAAAAAAAAAAAAAATCCAGAAATTCTAGATTTTTCAATAGTGTTTGCTCAGCAATACTGAAAAAATGATATTTATGTGTTAGTTCTCCCAAAGCCTTTGGATGTTCACTAAGTCATCACTCTCAGATAGGTACTCATTAGGTTATGAAACAAACAGCAAAGATAACTGGGTTTTCAGTGATGAATGTAAATAAAGATTCTCTACCTCAAATCTAGTGGCCATTACTAAGTGACAAGAAAATGCCCTTCTAAAGCTTTAGTACAGTTCCTGTCCCAGGTCCTGTGTCATGGGACTGCCGCTGATTCCCAAGTGTTAACACCAAGAAAAGCTCTTGCAGAAAAGCCAACAGACATAGCTTAGTTAATTTCAGAGCATAGGTCCTCTAACTGTCAAAGGAAGCCTTGACTTTTGTAACTTCTTGCTCCGTATACACAAACACACCAGCCCTTCATCCAGGCTTGTTTGCTAAAATAATGAATAGCACAAGGAAATGTGAAAGTAAGAGACATCTCATTACGATTCCTTTATCTTACCTTGACTTCTAACACTTGGTATCTCAAGCATGTACGGAACTCTAAACCTACAGAATTTGTTTCCTGACCTAACTCCTGGCCATGACTTACTCTGAAAGGCAGCCGGCTGCATGCATTCATAGTTGAACATAATTTAAATGACCTTCAGAGTCTCAGTGTGCCCAAGTCTTCATTATTGTCATCTTCCCCTATTGTAATTATAAGAGGGTGTACATAATTTCATCTGGAGGCTTTGGATCTCTTATTGCTGTAGTTGCTCTCTTTCTTAATCACACAGTAATATATTCTCCCCATCTCTTCATGGATTCGTAACAAGAACTCACACTTAACATGCAGTGGTAGGCTCAAGAAGGCCCCCCAAACACACCAGCTTGTAATATCAGAGAACTGACAATGTTGAATTATAAACAGTCTTTTCAACTGAAATTAAGGATACTGACCTAGGAAGAACTGTCCTTATGAGGGGAAAGGCACACTTGGCATACACAGAAAAGGAGAAGGTGCTGTTAAAGCAGAAGCAGAGACTTCAATGACACAATCACCTGTCAAGGAATACTGGCAGCCACTAGAGGCTCAAAGCAGCAAGGGGTGGATCATCCCATCAGACCATCAGAAGGAACACATACGTATCATCACTTTAATTTGGTCTGATGAGATTACTCAAACTTTTGGCATCCCAACCTGAGTGAACAAATTTCCTCCAGTTTACTTTGGAAGTATGATAAGTTGTCATAATACCTGCATGACACTAGTGTAAACAAAAATCCACAATGCTCTAGTCTGTAACTCCCCTACTTCATTTCAGTAAAGGGTATCAGCATTTTCACAATGGAATAGGACACAAGTCTAGACTTCATCCTCACATGTCCTTACATCTTACACCTAGTCCATCAGTGAATCCCTAGCTTAATCTTCCACAGCCTGGTACAGAGAGGGATAGAAGCATTAAGACCAGTTGCCTGCTGGAGACAGCACGGAGACAGCACTCGTTATCTGGGTCACCTGCATAGCTTCCAGCCCTGGGGCTCTAGTTCTTATAGCTTTTCAGCTAAGCCCATGAACTACCCCAATATCCATTTGGCTATATGACCCCTTCAACCTGTATCTTGTTTGTGGCAACTGCTATCAGTATCTCTACCCGAAAGAAGCTTAATGTATACGACTGAGTTACCATAGGGTTTCTTCATGTCTTCCAAGTGCCCTCAAGTTGATCCACCCTCCTGGCAGGTGAGGACCACAGTAAGAACTTGCTTGTAAATCGCACTAAGTTCTCAGTAATCTGCAACCAATTTCAAGAACTTTCTATTCCAGATGGTTAGAGCTATGGATATGTCCTTATACAGCAGCAAAACAGCCCAACACTCACCTGTGTGATCTCCCCCATATTCTAGTTGCCTTCTTGGAAATACCAGGCCTATTGTTTGTGATGAACATCTATTTCTGGCCACACTAAGTTTAGAAAGATGAGCCGGTCCTTTCTGGATAGATCTGCTTCCAATTCTATTGTTTGCCACTAAAATAAATATAGCCCTTCACAGCACCTTCACCTCTGTGCGTGTTATGTACCCATATCCCACCCCGCTAAAGAGAACTTTGAGGGGTCAAGGGATATTCTGCTTTGCATTCCCAGAGCTTGCATATAATGAAAAAGTAAATAATACATCACAGAAATTACAAAACAAAACTCTGTGAGACTCAATACAGTCAATATTCACATACATAGGTTATGCTGATTATATATTAAGAGCCAATAATAAATTACATCAGTATTTAAAATGGGATGTGACCAACAAAAATCAGAAAATTTGGGAAGCATTCAGGAGTTAATGGAGCTGGGAGATTTGTGTGCAGAACCATTTGGATCATTGCTCTTGGTCTGAACAGGCTTCTTTAAGCTATTCTGAAATGGTTCTCCACATTCCCCCCATTCCCCAGCAGGGTTCTCTAGAACCTGGGGAGTGTGTTACCACCAAGCTCTAACTCCAAATCTTGAAATAAATTTAAATTATAACAAAAAATTTAGTTAATATAAAAAGTTCTCAGATATTTCATAGAAATAAAGATCATATTGAGTCACAAAATTCTTAAAAGTGGAGCAAGTAGTATTGGTTTTCAAACTTTAGAATTACACATACATTTACCTTGTGTGAATGACTCTCCAAGGTCTTGAACTAAAAGCTTGCATTTAAAACAGGATTGGGTTGGATGGAGAAGATGGATCTAACTACCTCAAGACACAGCTATACCATTCCTGGGCATATACCCAAAGAGTGCTCCACCATACCACAAGGATACTTGCTCAACTATGTTCCTTGAAGCTTTATTCATACTAGCCAGGGGGCATTTGGGGACAAGCTAGAAACCTAGTGCAATGGAAACTCCCAGGAACCTATGAGAGTGACCCTGGCAAAGACTCCAAGCAATAGGCAATATGGAGCCTGAACTGGCTGTCTCCTATAACCAGGCAAGACTTCCTGGAGGATTGTTACACAAACCTAGTCATGTAACCTACAACCTACAATGTGTCCTGCCTGTATGATGTGCTGGGGTAAAGGTGGTAAAGAAATTGTGGAGATGGCCAACCAATGACTAACCATCCTGAAACCCATGCCACAAGGACAAGTCCATCCTGACACTGGCTGAAGTACCAGGACCCAGAGGCTGGAGGGCACACAGACCAAGGATAGAACCAAACACAATTGGAGAAAAAAATGCCAGTGTAATGATGCCTAATGATACTTGGCTATATTCCATTTGTCATCAGAGAGGCTTCATCTAGCAACTGGTGCAAACAGATGCAGAGACATAGCCAAAAATTAGGCAGAACTTGGGGAATCTTGTGGAAAAGAGAAAGGAAGGATTGAAACGAGCCAGAGGGGTCATGGACACCACAAGAAAACTTACAGTATCAACTGACCTGGGCTCATAGGGGCTCACAGAGACTGAACTGAAAACCAGGGAGTTTGCATGGGACTGACCTAGGAACTTTGATTATATGTTACAGTTGTGTAACTTGGCCTTATGGGACTTCTAATAGTGGGAACAGGGGCAATCTCTGACTTTTGCTGGTTTGGGGGACCCTATTTGTCATACTGGGTCACCTTGTCTCATCTTTACATGTGAGGAGTCTTACTGTGGCTTGATATGCCATGGGATGGAAGAGATGGATTACACAGCCCATGACACTTGTAATATAGCAAGGCTCATGCGTAAATCTAAACCACTTTCAGGAACTCTATGAGTCTTTAAAAAACTCATCTCTGAACCCTTTGGAATTGGTAAATATCTTGTTTAAGTGATTAAATATCATTTACTGATATTTGGGAGAAAAAAGAAAAACTTTCAACATCAAAACCTAGAAGCTATAGATTTCAGACAAACATAGAACATTTATCATTTATCTAATAGATAAATAAACTGAAGGCCTTCTATGAGCTGGATACTGTGTTAAATGCATGGAGTAAAAAAAAAAAAAAAAAAAAAACAAGTGTTTATTTATGTCATGAAAAATAAAATCAGAAACCCATACAACAAATACAACAAGCTGTCTGCTCATATCTCCTATCTGTGACAACAAAACAGACTGACAGGAGGGGCATATAAAATACTTGGGAGGCAGAGTAGGACTTATACAGAAATAGAACACAGATGGAAAAAAAAAGACAAGTGGATGTGCGTATATTTATGAAAACGTAAGTCATCCCACAGAATAGCAGCTCACCCTCCTCCTTGGGTTTTGCACAGCTCTGTAATGCCCACTTTCCTCTGATTCCCAATCACATCATTTTCTTTGCTGCCCCTCGACAACATAGGTCACCAAAGCTCGGTCTCAGTTCATTTCTGCATCCATCCTCAGTGAGTTCATCATTTAATGCTTCACCTAAAAACCCCATGCTGGTAACCTTGAGCCATTACCCATCTTGTCATGTGGCCTGTGAAATGTCCTTCTTACTCAGTCTACTGTCACTTTCCCCCAAAAATCTTCCTCATTCTATCCCAACATCAAAATTTCTGATATTTAGTTTTGAGTGTTTTGCACCATTCTTCAAATTAGACCTGTTACAATTCTTATTAACTTTTAAGACAAATAATTTCTGGTTCTGGTGTGTTTTATTCTGTGCCTGACAACTATTTTGACCCATTTCTCTGCCGTGGCTTGCCATGTGTGTTTTCAATCTCCAGCAGTCCTTCAGTTACACATTCTGATTATAAGCCATTCAGAGAGAGATAATCTAAAGTAGATATCTTACCATAGTTGAACATGCTGAGGGTTTTCTTTCTGACAGTGAGGACAGAAATATGTCATCCTGCTGTTCTCCCCTAAGCGACACACTGTAATTTTGCAGTGGCACTGACCACAGTTTGGACGCTTATAAACCTTATAGTGTTTAGAAATGGCAGATTTTTCTTTACAGCACTAAAAAGAAAATAAATAAAATTATTATGTTATGCTCGAAATTGTTGTTATGGGGGACAAAAATACATTCTGGAAATTAAGTCATCTCTACAAATGTCAAAAATTAGTACTTAGTTCCATATAATAATTTTTCATCAGAGTAAAAGGTATTGACAAAAGCTAGTAATAAGATATGTAAGTAATAATTGAGTCATTATGTTTTAACTTTTTAGTATTCCAAACTATTCTCTGCTTTATCCTCTTATCTAAATGATATATAAAAGTTCTATATTTTAAAATGTCTGATGCTTTTAAGGCTTTCTTAATTAAACATAATTACATGGTTGTAAGAAAAGGGCTAGATTAGCTTCAAATCTGATTGCTTTTAGAACAAGCTACTCACTCAGTTTCAACGGCCAAAAAAGTTATTTTTAGGGAATAAAATTTAACGAGAGCATTTTCTTTGTTGGCCTGATAAAGGAAATTTTTTTTTTTTGAACTCTAAAGATTTTCTAGAAAAGAAAATAAAAACTCAAATACTATTCTAACAAAGAATATGCTCTATTTTGGTAAAGTTTCATTTTGTAAGACATTTTGATTTTTCTGCCATAGTTTTATTCTATACATATGTGTTTAAAGTACCTACAAAGAGAATATTTTTTGGTTTCCACTGGCAGTATGAAAGTGTAAAAACTCTGAAATATGATTATATATGGGCTGAAACTATACAACATATATTCATTTAAGCAAGGTAATGAAATGCCCAATTTGTTGTGGGCAAAATGGACTGTTTCCTATAGTCATTTTTCTCTGGAAGAATAAATGGGCACAGGTCACTATAAAATTGCCATTATTATCGAAGGTAATCATATACTATAAGATGTTCATTAACATTTTAGGTCAATTAATGAAGACTATTATAATACCTTCCTCTATGATCATAGTAAAAACACCCATTTGTAACTATGATGGTAAAACAGGCTTAGTTATCATCCATTGTTTAAAAGATAATGTACTTTTGCTGAGGTCTATATGAACACTATAAAACTTGATAATTAACAATGCTAATGGGTACTTTCCTCATCCTTAGAAGATCTTTTGTTGTACAAACAGAAATATAATCTCATATTAGATCTAAAAAACTTAAATTTTCTAAATACCCTAAACTACACATAATCTTGGCAAAACCTGAATAAACCCAAGCTTAAGTATTAAGTCTGTCTAAATGCTTTGTGTTTTATATGTCCAATATAACAAGAATTCAATTAAAATACTAACACAATTGTTATCCAACTTAGTGTAAATATAACTAAATACATTCACAGTGAGGCAAGTTGAGATTGACTAATGTCCTAAAATTTTAAAACACTAATGTGCCCTTCAGATGTTACTCTTGCTCCCCAAATCTCTTCACTCTTACCACTAGAGGGCTACCTGCAGCTTTAACACTCTGGTAAAGTCAAAAGAAAATCCACTGGCATAACATGTGGTTAGAAATATTCTTTCATACCCTATAGAAGAGAATGCTGAAATCACGGATCATTTTCACAAGGTGATGGGTCTGCTCCTCTGATAGCTGATACACCTTAAAGGGAAAACATTATTTCATAATTTATTCATGTTTATAACAAAACCTACTTAACTTTCTCTTACACAGAATTAACAATAGATATAAAATCCATGCACATTCTCTTTATCCCTCTTTCTTATCACTTTCTCTAACTAACTCCAATGTTGGGGACCAAAATTAGGGTCTCATGCATACTAGATAAGTCATCTTCCATGCCCTTGGTTCTTTTCTAGAAAACATTTTCCATGGAAGCCTAAGTGATTTTTCAAAAGCTCAGTTTTGTCAAGATCCTATTTCAATATTGGTGCATTGAACTAAGGTATTCTAAGTGTTAAAAAAAGGAGACCCTCACAATATTATCATTACCTGGTTTCTTTTACATTTTAATCACTAATGATTTGGATTTTATAAAAACATGGAGAAACTATATGTAGAAAAAAAAGGTATATGTGGAAGATATATATATATATATATATATATATATGAAGCTATTCTTAGTAGAAATAGTTGATACAGTTGGAATTTAGTTCATAGTAACAAATCTGGTTAAGGGCCTTAGGTATCAGCTTCCTTCCTAGAAACAAATGTATGAGTGCATGCTGCCACTCCAGTCTCTCCCTTCTAGGAATCATACTCAATCCCTGTTTTCAATGCTCCTTTCTACTCATTCTGTCTAACAATTTGAGCAACAGTGGAAAGGCTATCATAAATGCCCTCCCCTGATAATGAGATCAACTTATCCACTATCATGGAGTATCGCGGTTAAATAAGGATCAGGATAAACAAATAGGCCGAATAGATGTTTATTCAGAGAGAAATAACTTACAACCTAGACAGATGAACACCAGGAAATTCAACCCGATCCTCTCCTGAACGAGTCACCCCAGCAAGAGAGCTTCCCCCCCCCTCACTCCGACTTCCTTCCACAGGTCACTTCTGCCCATGGCTCCACCCCAATGGGCGTGGCCAGTGCCACAGAAGGACTATCTCACTACAATGGTGCCCTCATCTAGTAGCTGATGGAAACAGAAGCAAACACCTACAACTAAACATGGAGCTGAACTGGAATCCAGATGCAGAGAGGGAGGACAAGACCAGGCCACAGAAACACATAGAGACAGCTTACCTAAACAAGGAGGAGCTAACAGGTCCCCAGATTGATAGCAGGGAATCCAGCATGGGACTGACTCAGACCCTCTGAATATGGGTCTCAGCTAGAAGGCCTGAGCAGTCTAAGGGAGCTCATACAGTGGAACCAGGATATATTCCTGGTACACAAAAGGACCTTGTGGGCACATCCCCCATGGAGGAATACTCCCTTAACCTAGAGACAGGAGCAAAGTCCTAGTCCCTACTCCGAATGACTTGACAGATTTAGATGATCCCTCCTGGAGGGCATCACCCTACATACGGAGTGGGGGGGGATGGGAGGGGAGGGTGGACAAGGTGCATGTGAGGGTGAGAGAGAGGGAGAAAGGGAGGGAGGATGGGAGGCAGAGAGGGGGAACTGGGATCGATATGTAAAATAAAAATAATAAAATAAATGAATATAAAAAAAAAAAACAAAAGAAAAATAACACTTTAGGTCTCTCCAGTTGGAGAACAAACAACAAAACCAAAGCCATTCCTTGTCTTGGTATCCCACTCTAGAAGTTTAACACTTTTCTCTTCATGCCAATCTAAGCTAATATAACAAGGACTGGGAATTTTGTTTCTTTTGCTCTCTGCTCATTCATTCTTTAGTCCCTGCTACCTGAATTTCATCCTTATCATTCATGGAATCTTTTTTCTATTATTCATTGCTATATATGGGAATTCATGCATGTGGTATAGAGTATATATTTACGGTGTCAGAAAAAAAATGCTTAATTACTGTCTATAGCACCTAGAGAGTCAACACCCAACTGAGTGTTTCTTTGGAGATCTGATTCCACTTAGTTTTCAGGTGTGTCAAAGTGTGTCATCCTTCTGTTTCCTTGCCAATGACTTTCAAAACCCAACCCAAGGATTGTCCATTCCCTTTTTGTGCTAGAATTCAACTTTTCGGTTGAGTTACGAACATAAAGAAAAAACAAATGCTAAGCCTGATTCATTTATTAATACATTCTATACAAATTTATCTCCAAAGCTAGACACTGTGCTATTTCACTATTTCTGTGAAACATCACTACAGAACACAGTAGCCCTCCTTATGGCTGACATCAGCTGGAGGACACACAGTTTTGTTTTGTTTTTTAACAGTAAGTGTAATGGGTAAAATATATTTGAAAGTAAAACTAATATAAGATATGAGGAAAATAAAATCAAAGCAAGCTAAGGCAGGAATTGAAACACTGCTGTTCTAACAGGGAATCAGAGATGGCACACCAAGAAGTTGACACTTAAAGCCAAGACTTAAAAGGTTCCTGGAGTATGTAGAGAATATGTTGCTACAGTATAGATTTCTCTTTCTCATTGGATCCTTACCATATTTAAAAACAAGTTATAAACAAATTCGACAATACTTATATTTTACTTTAACAGCCGGATGGAGGCCGCTGTCAAAGAGAGCTTCATTCTTGATGATATTTCCCACACCAGGCAACACTCTCTGATCCAGTATCACATCACATAGCATCCGATCTTTCTGCCTTTTAACTTCACTTTCTGCTCTTGGCAAACTGAACTTTGGTGAACACACATCCAATTCTTCCATCATTCTTACTCTCTGTTGGCTTTCCATTGAATTTCTATAGAAAGAAACATATAACCCATTAATCATAAGTCTGCTTTGTAAGTTTAGGGTCATTGAATGGGCTTCGATATAAATGCAAATGTAAATTATGGCATATGAGTTCTTTGGATGAACAGTTGTTGCATACACCACTGGCTAGTTTGAGGTCTCAGTCTGCTCTAAGTCTTGCAATATTTTTTTCCATGTAAGCTTGGCAATATGGAACTCCATCCCTCTCAGCAAGGTTTCCTGCTCTATACCTGCTTTTATCTGCAGAATGTCCTTGGCCTGGAGGGTTGACTTTATCTGAAAGCTGTCTCTAAACTAGATGCACACTTCATCTTTAGCTTGACTCTTGACACAGATCTCTGCTAAAAAGACTTATGCTTGGAGCTCTGTTATAGGACCCTACTGTCACATACTAAGCCTGTGATAGGTACATGCCACTTAATGCAAATTATGTGTTGTTCCCAGGTTCCCCAATCCTATATATTACTCATACTCTATGATAAATTTGAACTGATTAACCAAAACTCTGCCTGCCCGGAGAACTGTCTCCATCCACTCATGCTTATGGGCTGTCAAAGCTTTCTGTTGCCCCTTCTGCCTCTTTTCCCTCTTGATCTGGTGGCCAATAGGCAAGATAGCAAGAGGACCCCTACAAACAGTGATGACTCTAGTAATGATATTTGAAGGTTGCTTTATGATGGCATTTTATAATGTTTTTATTAATTAACATGTGTGATATTGAAACCAAACTGCAGATCCCAGATATGGTGTTTTTAAGCTAATGTACTAAATACCATTCTCAGAATCTTGTTATATGAATCTTTATTATCTGTGCTACACTTCTAGCAGCTAGTTCTTCTGTTATCTAACAACAACAACAATAACGACAAAAAAAGTCAAGCCCAGTTAAAGAATGAGAAAGAAAAACAACACTAATTCTTATCCTGGTATCTCAATTTTACTTTATATTAAATAGTTAAGAATTAATTTTTTGTTCTTTTTTTTTTTTTTTTTTTTTTTTTAACCTTACCTGAGTTCTACTGAAGAGTCAAAGAAGCAGATCAAGTCCCTGGTGAGCTGCACTTGGAAAGTTGGGGAGACCCCATCTCTATTTTCACACTCTTGTGGGTTAATCAAGATGAAGCCTTTCATCCCAAAATGAATCCTGAAACAGAGTCAGCCCATTTTTGAATAATAGAAGCATATCACATATAAGCAAACTAATGTTATGCAGGATAGCTACTTTTAAAGAGGGAGGAAAGATAGCTAAAATGCAAATATCACTTCCTAGGAAAATATTAAGGTCCCAACACATATAGTCTAAAAGAACATACCTTCTTTTTCCTGAGTGAGTCAGATAAAATATCTTTGTTCACAAAAGTCTAGCATTTTTGCATACTTATTCTTACTTATTCAAAAGCAGGAGCCTAAAATATTGAGTCTGATTTGTTTATATAGTCTACAAAGACATTAACATTCAGATTCCTTAGTGCAGCCACTGAGAATTGGAAGATTTGTAAAATAAGGAAGGACTACAGTTTAATATATACCTCTCTTCCCCACTGAGCTAAGCATTGAGGTATTGTACACACACACACCTACACACACACACACACACACACACACATATGCAAGCAAGCACGCTCGCGTGCATACACACACGAGGCGGGATTTGTGATAAGACATAAATGGAGAGGGGATGAGTAAAAAACTTGTCCAATTTTTTCATTTACATATATATATATATATATAAATAAATAAATATTTACAGTTAACTTCAAAGTTACAATGGAGTGATGAAAAATTCATAACCTTTCAGAATTTGTAGAATTGATTGGCATGTCCAGTTAAAAAGAAGTGATTTTGTGAGACCTCTGATGAAGATCAAAAATTATTCTCCAGATGAAATACTATGTTCTACTTTTCAAATATGTTTCTTTATCTTTGTTGAGTTAATAAATATGGCTCTTTTGGCAGCAAATGATACTGCTGTGTGCTTCTAATTCCAAAGCATTGTATTATGGTATTGTACAAGGTTAACGAGTCTAACTTTTAAAATGTGGGTTTTAAACTTTGTGTGGCCTATTATCAATCAAAAATGAATTTTACATGCCCCACCGTTCTTGACAGGAAAAATGTGTGCCTGTAAGTACTTCATAATTTAGCTTATGGAGGTTCAGCCCCAGTGAAAGGTGTACAACTGTCATGCCCAGAAGCCATCATATCTAAAAATCTTTTCCACTGCATGGCTCATAAAGTGGACTCTAAATCACTTTCCATAATGAAACCGCATCCACATCAAAAACCTCAAAGGTTAAGACCCAGGTCCAAGGCAGGAGTAGTCCCAATAAGAACTACAAACAAAGCAAGTATACCTTTGCCTTGAAAATACATTGAATTGAGAGGCAAAATGCACATAAAACTACTTAATCTCTTTATCTTCTATGAATTTGCATTTCTATTATTAAATAGCTAACTATTCTGATGACTGAGCTCCAGATAACAAATAAACACCATGTGTATTGTCACTTACCTTTTAGAGTAGGAATATATCATACATCGGTATCATGAAAATCTTTGACTCACAGCAAGCATCCAAGATATTAGAACAATGGACACTGAGGTTTTATGCTCTGTGTATCAGCTCATGGGCCCATATTATATTAGGGAAAGAAACTTTAAGCGAAAGCCACCATTAACAAAATGAGTAAGGAGAAAAGCTGAAACTTTTAGGAACATTTTAAATACCACCTGTGGGGTAATGCGATGGTTTATAATCCCTGCATTCATGAAGGAGCTGGCTGTGAAAAGTGCTACCTTTTGAATTGGGCAAACATCCTTGGGAAACCCTGTCTGTTCCTGGAATATTTCTGTAATGTGAAGCAGAAGGATCGACTGAAAGGTGTAGTTGACGGAGTGGAAGCAAACACTGACTGTATTTGCAGATGGATCAGGGAACTTCCTCTGCCCCAGCAATGTGTTAGGGCCCAATTCACAGGATTTAAAAGCCTGGGTTAAAATAGGAAATCCCTTTGCCACCAGCTTCTGGGGGTGGGGGGGACTGGAGTACACCTGTTAGGAGTCAGGTGGAAACAAAAGCTATTGTTCCCTGGAGAGGAACCAGGGAGCCAACACTGGTTCAGAATCCAGAAGAGAATTTGTTCCATCTCCTTCAGGAAGAGAAAGGGGACAATTTGGACCCCCAAGAACATTCACAGAAGTCATGACAGAGACTGCCAGCCAAGGCCAAGAGAGAGGCTGTGAGCCTGTGGTCCACATAAAGCCCTGTTGAGAAGAAATGAGACCCTTGCCTCCATTGTTTTATCAGAAGACTTTCACAGTGTAACAGCAACAGTGGCCTACTGCTAGGGGAGGGAGAGTGGAGATCCTGACATGAATTTGATGAATTTGCAGTGTCAGCTGAAAACCAAGAACAGAGCAGAAACAAGGGGAAACCCATCACCCATGCAGCACCAGCAAGAGCTGGACTGTTTCCTTTCTAATGTTCAAAATTAATTATTAATGTCTAAAATGTTTATAGAACAGGAGACAAGTTTGTAAGACAAGTAAAGACCCAGAATACAAAGCCATAATAAAGAATGACAGGGCCAGGTGTGATGGTGCCTGTTTTTAATCCTAGCACTTGGGAGGCACACACAGGAGGGGATCTCTGTGTGTTCGAGGCTAGCCTGCTATACACAGTAAGTTTCAGACCAGACGGGGCTACACGGTGAGACAAGTTTCAAGATGGCAACAACAGAAGCAACAGCTAGAAGAATAAAATAACTCATTCCCCTTCAACAGAACAGGAAGAAGGGTATATGGGAACATGAAAATCACTCCACACACAGACAAGTGCAGCCAGAAAGCTATCTTACAGGTAGGGAAGCTCAGTGATGTCAGCAAGTCCGCCCCCACCTGCACCATGCGTCTTAGCACCACACTGACTGAGTGCACACTGTGATTAGCCATGTAGAAACAGAACCCCTGAGTGACTGATGGTTCATCCCTGGGAGCGTCCAGAATTTATATGTTCCCTGGTTTGCCAGTGTGTGTGGAAGTGTTGGAACACAGAAAGCAAAGTCCATTGCTGTATATAGCAGGCTGTGGTGGGCATGCTGTTCAGTTCTGGAGTTTGAGCCCAAACCCTGGCATATTCTGACTCTTTATCCACGAGCTATATCCCAGCCAATTTGTTTGTTTGTATGTTTCTGAGGCAAGATCTCACTAAAATGTTCAACTAGCTTGGAACTTTTGAATCTCCATGCATCAGCCTCCCGAATGGCTGGGATCTCAGGCATAAGCCAGAAGGCCCAGTCACCATATTTTTTTTTTTGTTGTTTGTTTGTTTTGTTTCTAAATCATGGGCAATAAACCTGTCAGGAAGGTCAGAAGTTCCAGGCCATCTTCTACTATAGTGCAAGTATGAAGCCAGCCAGAGACTTTATACCATCTCAATTGACCCAATAAACCACTTGCGCATACACTGTTAATTATGTGGGTCATTTCTTTGTCTTTATGTATGAGTCAAAATGTAATTCAAAAAGTAAAAATATTTGTGTTGGGCCTGGGCTGTAACTCACTAGTGGAGTGCTTACCTACCATGTGGTAATCCTGGGTCCAACACTCTGGTGTCTAAATTTCCTTTGAGATTGAAATAATCCATCCTACAAAGAAGCTCCTTAAACAGGAGGGTAAACAACTTAAAATATATTAAGGCCTTGAACTTGACCAGATTCACGAGGTTCCTTCCTGCCAGAACAAATGATAACTGATAATCCCTCTCAGAGGGGCAAAGCCAAACCACAAAGATGACTCTGAGACCAGACCAGCTTCCTGGAAGAAGCAGAAACCAGACAAGCCACCTGGCAGAGGTTCAGACCCACCCAGGCACCTAGAACAGGCATTTTCCAACCTGCTGAGCTGCCTGGAGGCCATGCACTGTGTGTCCTGGGTTACCAGATTTGAGACCTGTCACCCATGCTGGAGTCATTCCTGCTGCTGTATTCTCTTGTGCATAGTCCTGTAAGTAACCCCAGTAAAACTCAGAGGTTCACCAAGTTGGACTTTGGTGATATCCATATTTACCATGGACTCCTTATCAGGGGTGAGGAGACATGTGTTGTCTAGGAAGATACACAACCAAGCAGAACAGTGGTTTACTGAGAAGAATTCTGCATCTGGTCTGGGAAGGGCCCTTTCACTTTATAAACATCCTAATACCCTGATGTGTTCCTGAGGACTTAGCATTTTTGTCATTTAAATAACAGAATTTGTCAGCCCAAACCCGGAATTCCTGTCTGCCCTCTCCTTCAGCTCTGCAAAAGGAGCCTCCCTTTAATATTTAAAATCTCCATATTAAGGGAATACTTGCCTAACCCTTTCCATGGAGGCTGTCAGGGCATCCCTGATATCCATCCTACTGAAAGACTTAAACTAACAAAGAAATGAAATGGAGCCCAAATAATTGGAATGCAGGGCAGTCTGACCCAGAAAGCTGACCAAGGCCACTGTGACTTAGTTCCTAGAATTTGCTAACCACCTGCAACCTCTGCCTTACAAGGCCCTAAGATAGCCAGATACCAAAAATTTCTAGATGGGACCTAGAGAAACAAAGAGATTGTGCAAGATTGATTAGCACACCCTGAGGCCTACTGACCTAAACAGTGAGACCATCTAAAACAATAAAAAGCATGCTAGAGCCCATGACTCTGGTCACATACTCAATGGTCAGAGGGTCACGGCCCATCCCTAAGCTTGTAGGTTTTGCCTTTAAAAATACCTGAGCCTGGAGAATGATCCTCCTCTCTAGCCTGCGTGCTGAGGGGGCCCGTTTGTGCAAATGTTTCCCGTTCATTAAAGCCTCTTGTGTGTTGCATCAACTGGACTGGACATTGAGTTCTTGGGGGAACTGACCAAAATGGGGAGATTTCTCATTCTGAGGGTCTTACACTACAATGTCACCCAGGGTTGCAGCTTGCCCAAGGGACAGAATGACAAGACTCTCCTCCTCCTTTTGCAATACCTTGTCTTCTAGTCCTAGAGATGAACAGCAAACTGAGGGAACCGATGAAAGCCAAACAGTCTATTTGAATGAAGACTGGTTCCAAATACAAAAGGAAGTGGACAAGAAATGGTGTGGCTGCCCCTCTGGTTACCAGAGGA